CTCGTATACCTCTCTCGTTCCAATCCAGTGATTTCATCACCCACTGCAACGCAGCGGTAAACAGCTTTGGCGACACGGTGTCGCCTTGTTGAACCCCCTGCGAGATTGGTATGTTAAGGAGATGATGACAGTATGACTGTGGTCGCGACGATGTGAAACGCTTTCTCATCGTCGATGTAGGTTAGGACGAGAGGAAGGCGCTACTCTTGGAATGTAGATAATCCTTGAAACTGTCTCGATGTGGTCCACGCACTTGAATTCCTTGCTCCGACTTGCTCTACGGGTTGGGTTTCATCCAGTGTCCTTGATATGCGAGCGAGAGTAATCTTCGTGAAGAGCTTGTAAAGCACGCTCAGCAGGCATACTGGACGGTAGTTTCGAAGATGCCTCCTATCGTTCTTCTTATGAAGAAGGATTGTTCGCGAGGTTCTCCACTGGTCGGGAATCCTTTGCTTTTGCAGGTAAGATGTTATGTTCCGCAAGTATCTCGTGCAGGCGATTCTTCTAGTTCGTAGGAGTCGGCCGAAACGTGGTCCGGTCCCAAAGTCGTGGCTGCTTTCATGATCTTGGTTGCTGCGCGCACTTCAGTAGTAGAATTCGCGTTGGTATTTTTCCAGTGGAAACAACGGAGTTTGGCACGTGTGTTGACAAGCGAAAGAGATTTGTGTAGAATCTATTCGTGATCGATTCCATCTTTTGTCGGGAAGATGTGCGAGTCCCATCTTCGTAGTTAAGTTGTCAGCGAAACATGGTATTTGAGAAGGTCCTTGCGGTACTTCTGATTTCTCCCTTCTTGTGCTACTTCCAAAAGTTCCGATTGCCTGTACTTTCGAATTTTCTTGCAAAGCTGTTCTGCAACTGGTATTGGCTATCAATCGCTCGTGTGATACAGTCGGATCCAGCCTCAATGCTCTTTTCCTCTCAAGCAGATCCTTAGTGGCTTTTGAAATTTGTTGCAAAATCCTTGTTCAAGGCATTGAGGCATTCACCACAGGCCATCAGTCCTCTGAGAAACAGGTCGTAGTCCTTCGTTGGGCCATTCACAAGTGGTCAGGAGCTACTCCAATCTGACGCCGCATATACAACTTCTCTCCTTCGTTCAACGGTGAAAGATCTTCTTTTCCAGCTTTCGAATCGCTTTCTCGCCACTGCTGAAGGATGGTATTAGACGTCCAGTAAGCTCTACTTTTGATTGGTGAAAATGTGGTCAATCCGCGCGAGTTGTACCGTTGGGTGACTCCCATGTCCGCCGGTGTTCTTTCTTCATGAAGATGGAGTTGCCAAAAAGGAGGCGGATAGGAGCATGACAAGACGGTTACCATCATTCCGGAGTCCTGGAATGGAATGCATCAATCTTCCTATTATTCGAGTGCGCTTTTATAATGAAAAATCAGTTCCCTATCGGGAAGAGCTTTCATTTCCGCAATGCAAGAAAAACTTGCACACTTTACCTGATCGGACAACAGCACCCTAGCTCTTGAGGTCGGGAAGCCAGATTGGACGAATTGTGCAATCACAGCATTGTTTTACTTCGCGGCTACTAGCAATCTCGCTTAATCCTTTCATTCGATAGGATTCTGTGGTGTTTGGTTATTTATGACTTTGGTTATGTAAGAAATTTCCCTCATACGTACTTTTAATTATTCTCCTCTGTGTTATGTTTGACAGATTTAGAGCGCTGTCTATGGAGTGAGCTTAAACGAAACAACATAGCGGGCCAATCAAGCATTTTTTTGGTGAAACAGTCTGGTTGGCTAGCTAGAAAACAAAACTGATCGGAAGCATTTAAAAAATGTAAAAATAAGCTCTGATTATACAGTAAAGTGATAGTTTTACAAATTCTTAAAATTTGCTCGAGGTCAAAGTAAAGACATGTCTGCTTTTTCCGACTAGAACCCAAGGATACAAAATTCTTACCTAACTGAGCTTGTAAAAAAGGACATTTGAAGAATTAGCAAGTCAAAATATATGCGAGCTGAGGTTAGAGTTCACAGACTAGTAATTCGACACAGTGATTCCAACCAATTATCGTAATCGGCTTTGTACAATTACAACAAACGGCCTAGAACACTTTTAAAAGTTGAAAAACAACTGGGAATTTCGGAAATTAAATTGGAAATTTAGCATCTGTAGATAGGAACCTTCGTACAGACCGTCTACACACTAGAAAACTAATTACATGTCACAAAGCGTTCATTGAAAATAATGAAATAAGTGAATATAGGAAGAGAGGTAAAACTTGATGCAGAGTAGAGCGCTACAAATAAGTCAGTGGGCGTTTTCGACATGCGTCCATGCATTGCTAGGGCACCCTATGTTCCTGTTCGGGCAATTAGCCACTCACTGCCGCAATCTCGTGCATCGTGGGGCTGGCACCTGATCAGATAACTCCCCGAACAGGAGAGCTGATTTTGATTTGATCTTAATATTCCACCCCTGATCCAAATCTCAAGATCCTAGGCTCCCCTTCTTTTGACATCTCGATTTTTGCAGGACAAATTTGTAGAAGGACTTCTCCTCGGATGACTTCCTCCAAATCCTCATAAAAAGCATCGGGTTCCGAGTCATCAGCTGCTGATGTTGGAGGGTATGATGATAGTAATAGCTTTTTGATGCAGACGAGGTGATAGGATCCGAATCGACAAGATGGACAAAGATGGGTGTACGACAAATTCGACGCCTCCAACGTTCCGTGACAGAACTTCTTCACAACGATGATGAGTGTACCATCACTTGGCGACAGTCTCCATGATTTGCGTGTCCTTTTGGTTCGAAATCCATGGCGTTATGTAACACTGGTTTTGATGACATCCGACGCCGGAGATGTGATCCAGTGTGCAGGGATTCTTTTCTCCAATCACGTGCTGTACAAGCAATAAAATAAATCCCCAAACTGCAGCCTTGACACGGCCTGCCAATTTCCACCACAGGCAATCGCTGACTTATGTGGATCAGGGAACCAGCTAGCGACTTAGTCAGCCAAACGATGAGATCTCTAGCATGGCCTACTCTTAGCTGGGCATCCGGAGAACCGGAAACGTCGAACTCCCTCTCAGCTTGGGAGACCCTGCTGGAGAATAAGCCTCCCATGTACTTCGCCATTCGACACCCAGACTCACCCCCGCGCCACGATGAGCCGTTGGACTATCATGTTCAACCAATATAGGGCCAGAAATTGGTGTATGACCTCGGGAGTCACAATCCGCGAATCTTAGGCTAGAGAGACA